CAAAGTGCTTTGATACTGTAAATTCACTGTGCACTGCCTACCCAGCACCAAATGGACAAAGATAACTAATGAACATATTTGGAGCATTTAGCAGCTTAAGAGCCAGATATTTGGTGCAGCACAAACTGATGCTCAAACAAGAGAGTGCTCGGAAACCTGAGTCTAAATAGATGCTAATAGTGCTGCTTGCTAATACTTTTGGAGCAACAGCATCAGAGGTTATCATTTAAACAGTTTCTCACATTGACCAAAAACAGCAGTTACTGCAGGTTTAATGTGATTGAATTTAAGATTTTTCCTATAATGCAAAGTAGCACTGAAAGTTGGCAGACCATTTTCACAATAAATTGTCAAGGTTGTTTGATTGCTGTTGGTTTATGTTGTTGATAATTGTCATGATAGCTAGACATAAACAATCAAACCAACAGCAGATGTCCCATGTGATAAAATCCGTACAGATGTGGGTCTGTTCACTGTGTTCAAAGTGTTTTAAGGCATCTCTGTCCTCCTCCATGTCTTTACTTTACTTGTCTTGATACCTCTTACCTCTCTTTTTGTGAGACTACAGGTTATTCAAGGCCAATTACAACACGATCACAAGCATGTTACACTGCATAGTTGCACAATGTAAAGCCATCAGAACGAAGATCATAAAAACACTTACGGAAAAAGACAGAAGTAAGAAAAAGTTCAAATGCAGACAGTTCAAGTGACGGAGGATGGGAAGGTAGCTGGAGTTACTTTAAAAACACACAGCTACTTCCTCATCCTCCTCCTTCTGCCCCTTCCCTTCCTCCTCCCAACTCATGCCAGCTGATTGTGATCGCCGCGCAACTCTCATCACTATAAAAATCACCTCCATCACAGTCCGAGTTGTTTGCATCCTTGTCTGAGGTGAATAAAGATACTTCAAGAGATGAGTACTTCATATTTAACTGGCTGGATGTTTTTGATCCTGTGATGTTCACCCCTCCGTCTCCTTGTGCTTTGTTCCTTCTCTGGTGACATTAAAGAGCTTGTGTCAGCAGAGATGTTGGCAGGTGCGTTGGTTCTGAGCACCATCATGACTGCTTTACCAGGTAAGAGGAAATCACAGAAATCACTCAGAAGTTTCAGCTTTTGAAATGAACCATGTTTTCCTGATGGTGTGCTTTTTACTTCAGGGCTTGAGCTGGAAGGCTGTGCAATTGTCAAACATTTGTACTTTATTCCAGATTTCTAGATTAAAAAGGTGATGTACTCACTATAAAACAAGTGACAACAATTAAAATACAATAACGACTGACTCACAAAATCCATTCTAAGCTTTTGCAGCCAGGTGCCCTTGCCTTTAAGCACAGGTTATTTATAAGTATTGATTGCCTTTTGTGCAAGGTAGTCAGCCGGGCAGGCAGTTAGCAGCACAGGACGACACCACGGTTGCACATAAGGCTCATTCTCACCGCCTCAGTTTTATGTGTCACTATCTGGGCTGAGCAAGGCTGTGGTTTGACAAGTTTTCCTCCAAGCAACCACATGAAAGGAAAAAAGTTACTTGTGGGCGGTTTACATTTACACTTCATCTATGTATTCCCTAAACTTATAGTAACCAATTTCATACAGCAAGAAATATAATTTGTGGTTGTAATAGCCAATAGATATAGATGCTTATACTGTATATTTTGAACCCTGAAGTGGTTTTCAGTTCCAAACGTTAGAAGAGCTGAGTGTAGCTACGTTCTTCATATGTCAGCCTGGTCTCCTCTGCACATGTATTGAGATAAAACTTAGCAAATCATTGTTTTTTTTTTGTGCTTTTAAAAAAATTGTATACACATTATAGTTTGTGCTTTTGGGGCAAATGTGCATGTGCATTTTTACTTTTTACTGTATGGTCTTGTGTGTTTGTGCTGTTTTTGTTCATACTTAAACTTTTGTGTGTGCAGGTGTCCAGAGCAGGTGGAGTGTGTCATTCTCCAGGAAGGAGATCTGTGTGTGGGCAGGGACAGCTGTCACTCTGCCGTGCCGCTATGACTACCCAGCAGGTGTACAAGCAAAGCATAAGTCTTTTACTTCCAATTTTATTTTTATATCCAGTGATATCTACTGTTATTTTTTAAATCATTTTTAAATGCTAAAGAATAATAACACTCAAGATACACTTACCCAAGCTCCAAAAGCCAAATCCTTATATTTTCCCTCTCTGTTGTTCCGTTGTTTGTATTTCCTATTTTCATCATTACAGTTTAATTTAAGTTTAACTGTAATTTTGTTGTGGTTTGAACTCAATAGGCCACACTGTGAAGCGGGTCATGTGGTTCCGTGTGTCTCCGGAGGGTCGCAGGGAGTTCACCCACCACAGCGACCCAGACAACATCAGCCTGTCATACCGTGGACGTACACGGTAGGAAAAACAGCAGACCCCAGGATGAAAGTTAATATAAATGAGAAATTAGGGTGATAATTTAATCCTGTATTTCAGCTACATAGGGGGCAGTTATTCCAGCTGTTCAGTCCAGATTCGGAGTGTGAAGTTGAGTGACGCAGGCCAGTATCATTTCAGGTTTGAGACAGACCAGCCACTGGGGAGATGGACCTCCCCTGACACTATCACCCTCGATGTCACAGGTAGACTCATACAAACTGAATCTGCTGCAGTGTCTCAGCTGTGACAATGATAACATCAGTGTTCTGCTCTCATGTTTGCATGTATTTCAGATCTCCAGGTCCAAGTGCATCCAGCCAGGCCCGCCAACATGTTTGGCTTTGGAGAGACCGTGTTTGTAGGCTGTGAGGCCACAGGATGTGCTGCTCCAGGACGGAGCCTCGCCCTGTACAGGTCAGTGAAGTGAACAGTAGCTAACATTTAAAAAGTACACTGTAGGTTTAATGTGATGTGTGTACAGGAATGGACTGAACCTTGGATCCTTTGAGAAATGGATGATTATCAACCGCTTCGACCAGCAGCAGGCTGGGGTCTACACCTGTCGGCCAGTCCCACCACAGAAGGTGCAGTCCCTCCCCCTCTCCCTGGCTCTGGGATGTGAGTAACCTCTGTCACCCAGTCAAGCCAAGCAACACAGAACATTTTCGTGATATCTGCCTATATGTCTCATGTTTACGTACTCAGAGGATGATGGATAAATGCCTCCTGAGAGGTGGTTGAAAAACTTGTCCTAAATTGAAAAAAAGCCAAATAAAGCATGTTGATTGTGAAATTGACTTTTAACTAAAACTGTGGATGGTGCTTATTTGAAATTCTCAACTAGGACAGTGTTTTTCTACTGTACACATCTGCTAAAGGCTCTGATGAATGTTAAATGATTAGACACAAATTTAGCATGTTGACCTTTTATTTGTTGCCTGTGACCCGGTTTATTTCTCACATATTTTTCATTTCTGTCCCTCTTGTTTTCTCTCTTCCCCTCCAAGATGGCCCTCACTCCACCTCCATTACAGTCTTTCCTGTAGGGGACGTGTCGGAGGGGGCATCGGTCACCTTGACCTGCAGCAGTGATGCAGCTCCACCTGTAGAAAGCTTTGCATGGTTCAAAGGTACAGTACAAGACAGCACAGCCTGGTACCAATACACAGTACATGATGACTGCTTAGTATACACATAGGTACCTGGTAGGTGGTAGATCTGAGCGGCTGATTGACGACCGTTACATATTATGTAATGGGAATTCTATCCTTTAGTTGGACAAGTGTCCTTTAACGATTTGTTGAAGTAGTGAGGATAAAGTTTCACAGTGTGTAGATACTGTATTTCATGCATAGTTAAGCCTTCACACATAGATAGTGTTTGGATTTGGCTGTAATGTAAAGTCATATGTGAGCTGATCTTCACGTGTCTTTATTTGCGCTTCAGACATGGAAAGTGGCAGCATCCCAGACAGTTTTAGGCCTCAGCTGCATCTGTCCCACCTCAAACACACTGACAGAGGAGAGTACTTCTGTGTAGCTCGCAACTCACTGGGAACAGACCGCTCCAGACCACTTCTACTTAATGTCACTTGTAAGTTTGTCGCATGGTTTCCTTATTATCGCAAATATCTTTACTCCACTTCCAACACGAGCAGGTGAGAATTAAAACTACATGTTTAGGTCAGAATCTATGTTTGCCTATAAAAAACCTTTATAAATCCTTTAAATTAGGTTGGGATCCGTATGACTCTGCCTTGCATTCTCTTGTGTAAACCTGTTTGAGGGGTGGGGAAAGGGTTAGTCTGGGTTAAACTGATTAGGCAGCAAGCCTATTTTAAGCTCTAGTCATAAAGGGAACATTGTAGTCAACAGGAAGTGATACAAATTAGATTTAGCCATCTGTTTGCTGACATTTCATGCTTTAACTTTGCTACTTATAGTAATATGCACTGATTCAGGAGTTTAAGTGATTAATCAGTCATTTGACAGAATATTTAACAACTCTTTGCATGACCAGTTCAGTGTTTTATATGTTTCTTCCCCTTTTTTTTCTTTTTAGCAAAAATAACTGTCTCTTGTTCCACCTGCTCAAATATAAAGATGTTTGTCACATATGGTCCTAAACTTGTATAACACTTTTTTATGCATTGTAGCACACTCAAAGCACTTTCATACTCTTTGGCCATTCACACTCCCAAATTGGTGTCACCACCAGGACTGAAGGTTCAGCATCTTGCTCAAGGACACATTGACCAGGCAAACTGGGAATTGAACAACTAATGTTCCTGAGCCACAGCCACATATGGTTGCTAACTGAATCTTTTCTTGTTATAAACTGTTGGTCTGACAAAACAAGCAAAATAAGTGTAAAGCTCAAGACATGGAAAATAAAAAGTGCAGCATTGTTTTTTATCATTTTTATTGAAAAAGCTGTTCTTTTTAACTACAGTACATGCTGATTTTCCTTCATACCTAAAAGGTCCTTAGAAAGTACATTTTTATATTTCTGGTTTTAGCATGTAAAGAGGTGAGTTGAGAAGCTGGTGTGGGCTAATAGTTATCTTCTGTCTGCCTGTTTAGACTCTCCAAAGAGTACACGTGTGGTGGTGATTCCCCCAGGTGACGTCAGAGAAGGCTCATATGTAAACTTGATCTGTGTCAGCAATGCAAACCCTCCTGCCAGCAGGTATGAGGAGTCCTCATGGACAGTTTCTCATATAATGCTGACGTTGAACCAAGTCTGTTTTGTTGTTTTCTCATATGTTTGACATTTGTTTGTTTGTTTCTGTCATTATTATCATGATTATTGTACATGTCATTGTGATAATCATGAAATTATCTATCTAATTTCTTCCTAGAATTATTTTCTTTTAAATCAGAATCTGACACTCCCTTAAAGTACTGAAAAGTAGTTCTGGGCAATATGAACACATACATTTAAATGGAGATATTAAATTTAAAGTTCATGAGCAGGACCTGCCTGAGACACCTCTTCCTGTTCAGTATTATAAACACCACCCTTTACTATCATCATCCGCTTCCCCTTTTTGTAACCCACCCGCCTCCCCTTCTTCCCATCTCTCCTCTCTCTTTTCTTATTTCTCCCTCCTGGGGTCTGCTGATTTCAAGAACAGCACAGACCCCTGACGCTTTCCCCAAACCAAAGTCACAAAAGCATAACACTAACCAATCACAATTCCTTCATCATCCTCATCCATCCCAGGGCAAGGTCCCAGCTAGTGAAACTGAGCTATATGCTGTACCTACACAAAGTCTAATCAAATTATTAACAAAAGAACAATAATAATTTGCTAATGTCCAGCATCACCATCCTCTCTCCTGTAGGTACACATGGTATCACATCCTAGGTGACCAGGTTCTGTCTAAAGGGACATTGCAGAACCTGACCTTCCCATCAGTGCGTGCTCACCATGCTGGTCAGTACTACTGCACTGCATCAAACCGACTGGGACACCACACCTCCCCTGTAGCTACACTCTCCGTACTCTGTAAGTACCAGTTGTGTTGGTGTGTGTATGACATTTTTCTGGGTCTACATCATTTATTAGCAGGGCTAAATTTGTCAGAAACATCTGATAAATTTATTAGTAATACTAATCCTTAGGTACATATTTGAGGCCATGTAAGTGGCAATGTTGGGAACACTGTTGGATTGTCAGTACTGGACAACCTCTCCTCCCTTCTAAAGTTTCACTCCTCCTCTCTCCCATCTCGGGCTACTTGCTCCCCTGTCCTGTTTCTCTCCTGGAGAGACTGGGTCTCATTCACCAACCGTTCTTAAGAGCAAATTTGCTCATAAAACCCACTTATGAAGTTTTCACAAAGACACTGGCATTCACCAGTTTTCTTATCTGGGATTTGTTCTTACATAAGAACAGAATCTACACACACTCAGAAGCACACTTATGCACATTTGAGCGCTGATATGTGTGTGAAATAATAATAATAATAATAAAGGTTTCTTCTTCTAAAATCATATAATATATGATTTATGTTACAATAACAGTTTAGTCATTATTAGTATTTCTTCCCATTATTTTACAAAGCATTGTAAACCAAACACATTTAAGTGTCTCTTTTAGCCAGTGATAATCGATAATCACTTTTATTGGCTAAGTATGTTACACACAAGGAACTTGTCTTCAGTACAGAACCAAAGCAGCCATCTGTGGCACCGACCCACACACACATCGATGGAGGCAATGTTCCTACAAGGTGCTGCTCTGGCCGTTAGGAACAGCCTAAAGACACTTCAGCGTGTGGAGAACGGGAATCAAATAGCCGACCTTCCACTTAGGGGACAATCTCTCTGTCTCCTGAACCAAGCATCTGGCTGTCCAGCACCGCATCTGAGATCAGACTCAGAGCAGTTGAAAGGACCTGGGTGCACACATGGAGTCTGCTCAGCTGATGGCACACCTGAAAGAGCCGAGTATGGCCCCGATGCGCTGGTCCAGCTCAGATACCTCTGGGCCAGCCTGTCCTCCTCCACTGGTTTTGTTGTCTCAGATTTCATCTTTATACTTCAACAGTTTTTCACCCTTCTGCCTATACAGTGTCCGCTGAACCAGTAAGAGCATCCCATGACTTTTTGTTTTATTTTATATCCACCACTGACACTACTGAATACGGCAGCTTATTCTCTATTCTCCACTTCATAACTACTCCAGTTTATCTTTGGTTTGGAGTTTGGTGCTCCACCATCTTTAGATTTTTGTTGTAGTGTTCCTGGCTTTCTCAGCTTCTCTTTTCAGTTTCTGTGAGATGTGTGCACACAGCCCTGCAGTCACATGCCCTTTTACTGGCATTGATGAGGTGTTAACCTATGCTAATTAGTAACGGCTGGCACATGCTTTCAACTTAATAACACATGGGATTCATCAATATAAGAACACAGGTGGGAACAATTCTGTGGTTTAAGAAGGTGTTCATGAATCAGACACAAACTTTTCTTAGGACTTTTCTTAAGAACAACCTACAAAGAAATTTAAGAAAGCACTTAGGAAGATGTTGGTGAATGAGACCCATTGTTCTTTCACAGATTTTCTAACTGTACTTTAAACTGTGATTTTGTAAAATCATTATTAAATATACTGAAATCAGATTAGGATCCATGTTTGAAAACAGAACTGACCATGCTCTCCCCCACAACCTCCCCAGACCTTCACCTTCTCCAACCCGTTTCTTTTCTCTGAATTTGAACTGTGGTCACTTTGAATTTGTATTCAAAAGATTCAGACCACGTCTCAGTGCTAAACCATTGAGTTTGTAGCAATACAATGAAAATAAGAAACATCCACTTCCTCTTTCTCTCCCCATCTCCCCAGACCCTCCTAAGAACACCTCAGTTCTGGCTCGCCCCTCAAGTGTGGTGGATGCTGGCCGACCTTTGACTTTGACCTGCATCAGTCAGGCCAACCCAGCAGTGGACAACTTCACATGGCACCGTTTAGCTCTGGACGGAGGCTCTGTACAATGTAAGCATCCTAAAAATTTGGTTCCACTCAAGGTTAACGTCAGACTCTATAAGCTGTGCTGAATGTTTGTAGTCAGTGAGATGTTGTGCTAGGAACACCAGTGGAATCTTGGTTCCTCTGTTTGTCGGCATCCACCTGCACTACCGACACAGTCAACGCATCTTCTCTCTGTACTCCATTGTGCAGCCTGGAGTACAAAGTCCAGTCCTGTCTTCACCTTCTCAGAGGTCAGCCCAGGAGAGAGCGGGCAGTACTACTGTGAGGCCAGGAATCGAATTGGAGCCCACAGTTCTCCTGTTCTCATTGTGCGAGTCCGAGGTACTCTACATAAGGATGTGCACTGGTGCTTCTATGTGATTCAGAATGTGTCTGTCTGTGTTTTTTGGCAAAATAACTGAAGTTTTTTTATTTAAAATTGTTTTTTAGCAAAGTTTTTCATTGAAGTGAAGATCCTCCTTTTTATTTCTAACCATGCTAGAGCACTTGTTTGTCCAGTTGGCTAAAATATTTCCATTACATAAACTGTCATGAGCTTTTATTAAAGTAAAATGAGGCTTTGTTTCAATAAAAATGTCATGCAGGTGTTTGATATTATAAGAACAAGGAGACTTCATACTCTACATTATCTTAACAGAGCAAACTACTGTATGAGACAAACAGTTACATTTAAATCATGAACTACATTCACACTCAGTGTGAGTGTGGTGGTTAATTTCTGCTGACAAGTGTTCCCCGACACGCTCCTCTATTTACTGTTGTGGGCTGTTCCATTACCTTTCTCTTTTATATGAGTCATCGTGTGCTGCTGTCACTTTAGGAGTACAGTGGGAGAGATGAGGGGTCCCTGATAACCTTGGCCCCTCTTTTCATTGTCTCAGACAGTTGTATGAAATGATGAGTGATGAAACCGCCTTGTCACCATCACTACATACAGTCTGGACTCTGGTCTTTTGTTGTATATGGTCTCATGATTTCTGACTGTTTTTCTATGACTCATGTAAAGCCCTCTCACCATGAGCGGGGAGGGGGAGGTGATGAGGTGTTGTGGAAAACTACTACTAGACAGCTGAAGAAAGGGAGGCTGGAAATCAGAAGTAGAAACATCGTTCTGAAGTCTAGACTGTCATTAGCTCTTTCCCCATTTCTTGGTTCTATTTTTATGTCTACTGTTCTTTTTCAATTCTATTTTTATGAATCTCTCACGTTGTCCCTCATTCATCACTGCCTCTCTTTTCCTCATGTTTCTAGTCGTGCTGATGACCTTTACTGTCCTTACCTTGGCAGGTCGTCTTAAGGTCATTGCCTTAGCCTCTGCAGTAGGAGTGTCTGCTGGACTCATCACCCTCACTGTGGCCATTATGATCAGGTGACAGGAAGTACACTACTGGATGTGCTTTTTTCTATTTTTAAAAGTAGTTTTCAGAGAGGGATACAAAAGAATGTTATGCCCATTATACAGACATGGCTAAAGTATTACTTTACTTACTTCCCATTATACAGACATGGCTAAAGTATTGGTGCAGTACACTTACTGTACATATCTTGTCATGCACAGCCTAACTGAAAGGTAAAGAAGCTGTAGAAACAGTTGAATTCTCTGAAATCTTCTAATGTGACCAGGAAAAATCAAAACACTGTTGTGATATTTTAAATAGACTGTTGTCTTCACTTTGTATCACAGGTGTCTTCAGTCTTATAATCAACCTATACAGATGGAAACTAAGTTCTCATTGTGCTTTTTGGTTTCATTGAGTCCAGCACACTGACCATGGAGAGTAAAACATGAACTGAGTTGTCTGGAGATAGGGAAGAAAATTATTGCCAAGCACAGTCAAGGTAAAAGCTACAAGACCATCTCAAAACAGCTTGAGGTCCCTGTGACCACCATTGGTAATAGTATTAAGATGTTTCAGGTCCATGGACTGTAGCCCAGACTGAACAGAAGAATAATTCAAATGGTGGATAAAGACCCAAGGAAAACTTGATACGAGCTGATCTTCAAGATCAATGTACAGCAGTGCCCAATCAGACCACACATCACTTTCCTCCATGGAGGAAGACCAGGAAGAAAAACATAAATAACTGAGTAAAGGTTGCTAAAATGTAGGTCGACAAGTGCTCTTAGGACAACGTCCTTTGTGCAGATGAAACAAAACGAGAGCATTCTGGTAAAGTCACATCAGCTCTATGTTAACAGAAGAAACAAAGCTTTCAAAGAAACAAACACCATCCTCACAGAACATGGACGAGGCTTGGTCTGAAGTTGCCTTGCTGCATCTGGCACAGGGTCTGTATAGGACCACTGAAGATTCTCAAGGCATTCTGGAGAGAAATATAGTGCCCAGTGTCAGAGCCCTGTCTCTGTCACAGCTCATGGCTCCTCCAACAGGATATTACCATACTGTAATCCAAAAGCACACAGAATGGATGAGAAGAAAACACTGGACCAGTCTGAAGTGGCCTGCAATGAGTCCTAATCTTTAACTAATTGAACATGTATGGACAGTATTTGTTTTACATTAACTTTATGACAGGTTGTTAATGGTTTGGTATTGTCTTTTGTGTTTTCACAGCAAGAACATGCACAGAGTGGACATGGAGTTGGTAGAAGTAGGTAACAAGGTACAGTATTCATTGTGTAATAATTTGTGAATACTGTTCAAATGAATCAGCATCTTCAGTTTTCACCCTGTAGCTGACATTCTAGCTTTTAATACTTAAAATTAACAATAAAATCAACCAGCACACCAGGTAGTTTTTAAAATAGTTTATAATATGCAGTTGTTGTTTTGTTTTACTCTTTCTCTTGTTCTGTGTGTGTTGGTGGTGTGACCCCAGCGTACATCGGTGACAGATGACACCCTGTTCCATGAGTCAGCCCAGCATACCTTCCCAGAAAGGAAGGGCAAGATGTCCGACATACCTGTGAGCAACTCATCACACAGTGTATAATGAATAATGTTACAAATGATCTGAAGTTTTATGCATTTGTGTGTGTGTGTGTACATACAGGAAGAGCAAGAGGACTTGAGTGACAGCTCCCACCCCTCCATTGTTCCACTAAAGGATTTTCCACCAATCACAGAAGTTGAAACTTGCAGCCCCGCCCCCAACTACATCACAGTCCATTACTCCAGGTCGTCCACGTACGCACCAATTTACTTCACCTCGGTCACTGCCTCTTCTTTGTTTCAGTGTTTTCTGCAACATTCAATCATTTTTTGTCTCCATCTACAACATCTGTCTTCCTGCACAGCTGCTGGCCACAGCAGCACTACTGTTTCATGTCTTGTATATTTTATTTTACAGCTACACCGGTTTATCTCATTTCTCTGTCTCTTCTTTATTTTCTTGTCATCACATCACTTTTTAGTCTGTTTCATTCTTCCACTTTTTACTCATACATCCTTGATCTTCAGCACTTTTTTTATGTTTGAGAGGATGATAAATGTCTTGTCCTAGTTTTGACTCACAAAATAATATCTGTTTATAATATTATCTTGGTCAGATGTCCAGATGACCTCATATGGTTTCTGTTTATTGTTGATGTACAGTGCAGACCAGGTACAGGTCGAAAACCTGCCACCGGGTGGCGGTAAAAAGCCAAAGGACTCCTCCAAAGTTGTTTACACTTTACTGCCCCAGCCTCATCACAGATAGAGCTGAAGGAGATCTACCGCAGGTACAGCACTGTACAACGTGAAGTAGTGTCTACAAACCTCAGAGGTGCAAGTTTATCCAGTTTGACATTGCTGTTGTGTGGTGTACTTAACTTGAAATGAGTCCTATGCTGAAAAAGGTGATAGAGAAACAAGTGTTTACATTAACAAAAATGTTAAAAGCTGAATGAAATAATGACATTATTATGATTAAATTGTGCTTTATTGCTTTGTACTCCAATAATCAGCATTCAGCTGTGTTTAGTTTTATTTAAAGGTTACTTATGTCTCTGCTCTTGTTGTTCCAATCTGTTCCTTCCTCAGCACATCAGTCTTCCTCATGTGAAGCAGTCACTTTGCTTCCATATACCCAGAGAGGACCGTGAGACTGGAAACAGCCCCTTGTCAACTCTAAAACTGCCTTAACACTGCTCTGGGTCAGACATGTTGTTATGAGATTTTCCATGCTTCTTCAGACCATGAAGGCCACATGTGGTCCTGCAACTGAATGGGAGTCCTGCCTGTGCACTGTGCTGCATGTCTTTCGTGTATTTTTCTATGTGTCTTCCCACAGTCTGCTGTCTGACAAAGTGAAACTCTCCTAACACCAACACTGAGAGCCGCTTGCTTGCATTCATATCCACAGTACAGGCTACAACTACTGCTGTCTTTTAATTGATACTTGACAGTGAAATTTCCAACCTAGAATATGTAGATATGACACAGTATGACTGCTACATTATCCGTTGCATCCTCAGACTACAAAAAAACTAGTCATTATTTGTTTTTAAATCAAATTCTCTCCAATATAAATGACAGTATGGTGACAGACAACAGTGGACAACCCCTGACATGTATAAAGAATATGCACTCTCTGACACATATGGATTTCCACTGTATTCAGCAATGCTCTAAATAGGTTTGCTGTGGTTGCTGATGCTGAAACATTGACTTTATTTATACAGTGTAGCTTGCCCCCACTATATCAGTTTTTTCTGATTTTTTATGAATTTAAAGCTAAGCCAGTGATGATGCAAGTTACTTGTTGTAGTTTGTTACATTAAAGAGAAAGAAAACTAACATGTTATATCTTGAAGGTATGTTATAATTTTTTGCTATTCACAAACAATTAACAGCACTGACTGATTAATGAAAGGCTTTGTTTGAGGAGACAGTAAAGTTAGAGGGTTACCGTAATGCTTTAGGTGTGTTTCTTGAAAGTTCGATTTAGATTTTCCTCTAAGAGCAGAAAAAACACTTCATGCTTTGTGAAACTGGAATCAACCCAATGTACTAACTTAAAGATAAGGCTGGTCATTTTCTTTATTAACAGTATTTTCAACCCTCCCCATACAGAGAATAAAATGGCTAGTGAATTTCCTCTACTCAGTGTTTATGTCTGTCACTGTGTCAGTCCTGGATCATTTTATTCGTCTGTGCCATAGACAGCCATTGTTGTACAAAAACAATTAAAACACATCAGTGAAACACACTGCTGCACAGGGTGACATGTTTCTTCATTAGTAAACACCAGACCTGAGAGTGATGAGCTAGTGGAATGTAAACAAAGCAGAGAGTTTGTGCAAAATCTCGCACATGGTGTTCATGACTTGAGCCTTGGCTTGAAATTGCTTCACTTTTAAAACTTAGATATTTGCATTTTTCTTGCTATTGAGAAGTTACAATTGATTTTTTTTAGATACAATTGGGTCATTTCTAGTGCGATGCGGGCAAACCTGGCAACCTACTAGAATGCTGCAGAGCAGCAAAGGGCAACGCAGGTTGCAGGATGCCAATATCATGCAGGGCTCTAGTCCAAAAATAATAACATTTGGATTCAAGGATTATGTTGTTGATCTAGTAGCAAGAAGAAACAACAGTATGCAAAGTCTGCAGTGCAAAAGTCAGTGGCATGACCACAACAACATCCAACATCATTCATCACTACAAACTTACAAATAACAGGCCTTATCATTTAAAGAGCTGATTTCATTTCATTAAAGACTTGAATGGACAGTTGTGTTGTTGTGCATCATTTATGTTAAATCCATAATATATTATTGCTTTGAGTACCAAATTAAAAACACTCCTCTCTAAATTTTGGTTTCTTATTTCATTCTCAGTGTAACTTTCCAATTTCTTGATTTCTCTTATGTTCTAATTCATTAAAAAGACATTGTCACTCTTTCTTCTTTCACTGACTTGGTGGCAATTTTGACTATATCTGACCTATTGACTAGATTTCAACATTTGAGAATTTCCAAGATGACACTGATCATGTGAGAAAGCTTTTGCAACATGATGCCACACTGTTGACTCCTTCCTGTTCATGTTTAAATCATGGCATTTTGTATTCTGCAAATGCCATCTTACATTTGGGGAAACAAAACATCATTTAGGCAGTTTCTAAATGACACTGACTGGGGTTATAGACCTGCTGGCTGAAGCTGACACTAAAAATAACCACACAGTGACTCCACAGTTTCTGCTTGTATTTGACAGCACAGTCTTGAACTCTAAACTTCATTTGCATTGCATACGGTATTACCTAATACATTTCTATCTTGACATCTTGTCCTCTTTGACCCACATGGTGCATAAGAGATGTCTGAAGCAATGGAGGTGTCACCATCTTGCACCTAAGACATTTCCACTCTTGGTAGAGCTGGAATTGAGATATTTGATAGAATAAATCTGAACATCATGTACAATGTTGCATAATGGTGTTACAGTGTAAAAAGAGGTAATGAAAACAGGGTAATGAGGAACAGCTGCTATGCCCAAATCTATTCAATTCTATTGTTTTATTTGTATAGCCTCAAAAGCTGGTAACAAACTGGGGTGTTTTTGCTACTGGTCTCTCCCATCTAGGTACTGAGCAGGCTCTGCACTGCTTAGTATCCAAGGGACTGTGAGATCAGGCATGCCCTGAAGATTGTCTGGTCAAGTAGACCAGATGGGTCACAGATGACTAAATACCACTAACAGATTCCACTGGATCTCTCAAGAGTCAGCGAGAGTACCACAGTCTAAGAAATGGGCAGCTAGAATTAGCTAATCAGTATCCGGAAACATCCCCCATCAAGGGAGAAACTGAACGTGAACTGTCAGTAAAGAGATCAGCTTCCGAACTGTGTGTAATCAACTGTCTTACAAGAGGAAGCAGGGAGGGAAAGTCCTCTCACTTCTGCTTTACATGCCCCAAAACACCCTAACAGTTTGCTGCCCATAGACTGTATAGTAATGACCTGTGCTCTAGGTTGATTTTAATAATGGAAAGCTGGATTCTGCTGATTGTGATAATTATTAGGTAAGAAAACATATTTTTTATATTAAACATAGGTGAAATGTCTGTGATCTTATGCAACTTCTGCTTAGACATACAATTAAATAAATTTAGTATAGAATATGGGATGTTATCACCAATTCCTGTGGGAAAAGGTGCTACTGCTAAAGAAAAAATGATTGTATTTTTTTATCATTTTGCCCTAAGGTGTCTGGAGTGGAGAGTGGAGGGTGACTTTCAAAGACCACTGTGCATTGAAAGGGACATCAATAGTTATAAAGTGCGAGTACGACTACCCTTTTGCTCATATTGTCACTTCAACAACATGGTTGAAAGCTCGGCTGGTATCTAGCAATTGGGAGCTGTTTCCCCTCCCCACAGACCGCTTTACATATGTGGGCAACTCCAGGGGAGACTGCAGCCTGAAGATCAGTGATGTACAGCACACTGACAAAGGAGCATACTTTTTTAGTTTTGTGACAACGTTGAACAGATGGCGTAGTAGAACATTTGCTCAGTTGTCTGTAAAAGGTAATGACAGTAGAAACAATAGAAGGCATATTCATGATGGTTTAATGATTTCAGAAAAATGAACCTGTTTCTGCATTTGGATCAGAGTTGACCACTCTTGTGGAGCCAGGCACTGTGACAGAGGGAAAAGATGTCCGCCTGACCTGTGTGTCAGATTGTCCTACACCTACAAGCATTGTCTGGTTTAGGGATGGACAGCTTGTCCCAAAACCAACCTTCCAGGCCACAAAAGAGGATGCAGGCAGTTACTACTGTGCCGTCCTGGGACAAGAAACAGCCAGATCTTCTTCTGTGGTTCTGAATGTTCAATGTAAGTACAACATTATCACTTCAACTCAATGAATAGGCTTTCCAGTGTCCCAGTAAGCCATGACAGCGTGACAGGAAGCCAGCATGCACAATACTTTTTGAATGCTTGTGTTATTTAGACATATAAATGATTTTTGGTGTCAGGTACATGAAACTAACATGGACTAACACATAGGTTTTATCAGGTAAGCTCATCCAGCCTAACACACCTTTAGTAGCATAGTCCTCCTGCTATCCTATCTAGGGATGGCCGAGGCACCACATGAAAGACACCTCAGTTCTTCAAGTTCCAAAGGATCCACAGATGTCATGGTCAGATACTGTATGTATGTGAACTTATTTGCAATAGGTGATGTTTAAATGTATAGTGGATTAAACTTCAGGATGGACAAAGGCCAAAATAACAATCAAACAAGGTCTAACTCGATGAAAACAAAAAGGTGATATTACCTATCCAAAAAAGAACAAATAGCAACAACAGGAGAAAAGTATTCCAGGAAAAAAAGGCAGTCCATCACTACAAGCACCCTGAGGATTATATACAACTATAGCTTCACATCAGAGGATTGGTATTAAATGCAAAGCATGCCCAGCTAGAAAATGACGAACTTGAGCTCTGCCTCCTCTCCAGGCGTGGCCGGCTTCCTCCGTTAAATATCCTGCCATCAGCTCCAGAAGTTCAGTTGGTGTTGAGCTGGAAGGTGGAATCAATTCTTGATGCACTATTGCCCTGGCCTATTTGCATACAGTCACGTAGCAGTCGGGAGTCATCTCACACAGTCACACCAAGGGAGGAATGACATATACAACTAGGCAGATCGCACACATATAGCAGACATAACTCCTTAATTTTTCTCATTTTCTATGTTTTCAAGTAATGCTACTTTTAGGTTTTTAAAGTAATTATTGTTGCTATCATCAGTTATTTTCAGTATTATTTAGATTTTTTCTTCTGTTTTTCAGTAATATTTTTTTTTAACCCAGGTCTTTGTAAACTCTACACCAATCAGCCATAACATTATGACCACTGAAGTGAATAACTGGTTATCTCATTACAGTGGCACCTGGCAGTGTGTGCAGTATATTAGGCAGTTGATGTGCTGGAATCAGGAAAAACAGTTGAGTGTAAGGATCTGAGTGACTTTCACAACAACCGAACTGTGATGGTGAGATGACTGGGTCAGATCATCTCCCACACTGCAGGTCTTGGTGGGTGTTGTTGGTCTGCAGTGGTTAGTACCTACCAACAGTGTCTAAGGAAGGACAAATGGTGAACTGGTGACAGGGTCACAGGCGCCCATGTCTACAGCATTTCAACTTTTTAAATTCCATTTGCACTTTTCAAAAAGATTAAAATTAGTTTGACACTTTGTTAAAATGAGAAATGCTGCACATTGGTGTCAGTGAAGAGACACACTCAGCGGCTGTAGTGGACATATCACTGCTAGAGTGGGGAGGCTGTTGAATGTGTCTAAAAAATGATCTCTAACTTGTCCTCATGACCACAGTTTTCACTCCATTAACATATTTCTATCACTACATGGTAGAGAAATTGGTGCTCTTTCAGACAGTATAACTATGGAAGCAAACAGACACACAAGATGCACTGTGAACCTCAGAGTGACACGAGTGTCAACCAGTTGTTGGCCTGACTCCTGTGTACACAGTATTAGGCAGGCGGTCATAATGTTATGGTTGGTTGGTGTATGTTTATGGTTGTACTGAGGTTAAGTACCTGTTAAAACAAAAAATAAATCATATCTTAAAATACAGACACATAATTTAATTTTGATGTTTGGGCTCTGTGGTGAGGAAATTGTAAACTGAATGAATGATCACAAAACGTGTTGGTGCTGGTGCATAATTGACCAAACTCTACCCTTCAGTGTGACTCAGTCATCATGATCAAAGTCCTTTTGTTCATTTCTTTATCTAAGCTTCACAATCTCATCTCAATTAGATGCTCCCAAAAAAGTCACGTTGTTGGTGAGCCCATCAGCAGATGTCATCAGAGGACGCTCAGTCACTTTCACCTGCAGCAGTGACGCCAACCCATCTGTGACACAAAGTGGATACCGCCTGTATAAGGTTGGACAGTTTATCAGTTCAGGCCTCAGTCATACCATCTCTGACATCCAGCCCAGCCACAGCGGACTGTACCACTGCCAGGCCTGGAACAATATCAGCTGGAGAGGAGTTGACCGGTTTAACTCTACTGGGCTTTACATCAACGTCCAGTGTGAGTGATATTACACAGATAAGCCTGGCTTTTCTGTTATAGCAAGTGTGTTGTTGTGGATATACGTAAGTACACAACTTAGACACGGTAGTTAGCTGGCCCTCACGCTGCCAAATATCAAACAATTGTGAAAGGCTACACTGGGAAAGGTTCTGGGGGAGAGGAAGCCACTATGAAATGGTCAAAATGACTCATCTCTCTCGACTGTCTCATAGGAAGGAGACTATTAACGTGTACAATGTTTGGCCTTTTTTCAGACCGTCCGATGAACATTACCATTTCAGTGGATCCACCACATGTAGTTGAAGGCGGCAGTGTGAATCTGACCTGCAGCAGTGCAGCTAACCCTGCAGCACACGCCTACACCTGGTACAAGAAGTCAGATTCTCCCAGCTCCAGCTCCCCGCTCGTCATGGGCTCAGGGCAGGTGCTGTCTCTTCCTTCTATGCAGGCATCTGACACTGGACTGTACCTGTGCCAGGCCAGGAACGGCTCCGCTGTGTCCTTGGTGGTGAGGAGATGAGGCTGGAGGCTCCGCTGTGTCCTTGGTGGTGAGGAGATGAGGCTGGAGGCTCCGCTGTGTCCTTGGTGGTGAGGAGATGAGGCTGGGGGGCCCGCTGTGTCCGTGGCGGGGGGATCCTTGGTCCTCTGTTACTCATGGTTTTGTCTGATCACTCTGGTCACAGTTATCCCTCTGCACGGTAACGTCCAGGTGCTTAGTCCATTTCATCTGCTTGTCTTTCGTTTCGGGCGGTCGGGACCGACAGGCCCTGGCGATGTGTCCTTTCTTTTTACATGACCGACACTCCACCTCTTTAGAACGGCACTCCTCCGGTGTGTGTCCCTTGCCAGGGTTTTCCTCGTTCATCCCCTTTTCAGATCTGTCCTTTTAGCCTCAAATACTGTTTACTGTATGTTACCAACACACAGTTTGTAGGCCTCAGTTTTATTTGCTGCGGTTATACAGTTTTTCAGATATCACAGAGACTGCTGCTCCAGTATCTACTTCCATTCTTATGCGTTTTTCATTTACTCTCGGATACACATAATACGGTTTTTCTATGGCCTTATCATTTATAGCGCAGATGTCCCTTTTATCACCCTGAGCATTTACAGCAAACAATTCAAGTCCTGTCACGTTACCTCTCTGGAGCTCTTTAACCTGTGGTGGTGCTTGCTGAGTCTGTAATGTCCCTTGCTGGTGATGATCCTATCCGACGGTGTCTGACTTCCGTACCGTAGGCTCTGCTGAAGAGATGAGGCTGGAGGATCCGCTGCATCCTTGGTCCTCTGTTACTCATGGTTTTGTCTGATCACTCTGGTCACAGTTATCCCTCTGCACGGTAACATCCAGGTGCTTAGTCCATTTCGTCTGCTTGTCTTTCGTTTCGGGCGGTCGGGACCGACAGGCCCTGGCGATGTGTCCTTTCTTTTTACATGACTGACACTCCACCTCTTTAAAACGGCACTCCTCCGGTGTGTGTCCCTTGCCATTACAATGATAACAAGGTTTTCCTCGTTCATCCCCTTTTCGCTTTTTCCAATAGCATTAGTCTTAAATGACTTTTGTGACCACTGCTGAACATTTTGCCTTGCCACTTCGAATGACAGTCCCATGTCATAAGCTCCAGCTAACATTAAGTCTTTCACCTGAGCTGTACTTAGCATTCTGTCACGGAGCTCTGGGCTTCTCACGCTGCACACAAATCTATCTCTGAGGGCATCATCCAAAAATGCTTCAAACTTACAGGTGGATGCAAGCTTCCTTAAGCTGGCCATATATTCACTGATTGATTCCCCATCCCTCTGATTCCGGGAGTTAAACTTATATCTTTCCGTGATAAAGTTTGTCTTGGGAACAAAATGTGTTTGCAGCAACTCAAGTAGCTCTGATAGTTTGTTCTCGGATGGTTTAAACGGCGCACACAAGTCCATTAACAGGGCATGTGTCCTTTTACCCACCACGGTTAGGAACACGGCCTTCGCCTTTTCATCAGTCAAAGACAGTTCATTTGCAACAAAAAACTGCTCTAACCTTTCCAGATAGGCATCAAAAGCTTCCTCATTTTTGTTGAAATGGAAATCTTCACTTTTCCCGAAGGCAGCCATCTCTGCTCTGCTGTGTTTTTTCCATGTTGTGTAACTTTTTTGATGTGTTTCACCAAAATATTGTCATGGCTCCATGTGTATCATCCCAATCCTCCTTTTTAACTACTATATATCATATTTAACAGGATATTAATCTTAGTAACTGTAGCTGCACAGCTGTGCTGCTGATTGCAACAGAACTTCTCTAAAATGTGGGTTTGATTGAGCAACAATTAAAAAGGTCCTGTTCTGGGTGGAATAACTTTGTTTTTCTTCACAGTTATTTAGTTGATTTATCATGTTTTTGTCTTTTTTTGGTAGGAGGAAGCACAGGACCCACATAAAGAAAAAAGTGAGTAAATCCAGTAAAGCCATTAAACAAATCATGAATCTGATTACACCTTTATGATTAACTGTCACCGATACAAGGATTTGTGGAACTTTTAGTTCTCACTTTAAACACTGATGACTGACTTTAGTCTGTTCTATTAAACATTCCAACACAGATTTAAAGACATGAAATGTGGTTTTCGTGTGGTGTATTCTTTCTAACATGACAGTAGCAAATCAGACATTTTAGTGGAGCCAAAAATGCCTGTAGGAGAAAATTGAATCTGACCTTTATTTCCGCTGCCGCAGACGGTTTCTGGCTTCATGCTCAGTGTGAGAGGCTCAAGCTCTTCAGGCAATGAAGATCAACCTGACGCTATTTATGCCAATATCGACGCGTTTCCATCCTCTCCTCCTAACTCTACCACTGCTCAGGACATCAGTCCAGCCTCATCAAACCATGAGCATGATGTAAATATGGTGCTCAAACTTGTTCTCATGCAAAGGACGCAACATCTCCAATCACTAAATGTCTGTACTCTTCTCCTCTCAGGCTGCTGTTTCAGATGAAGATGAAATTACCTATTCAGCAGTGACCATTAAACCCAGAAACCCCAGTCTTCCATGTCACATAAACAACAGCACAGCTCCACACAACTCCTGGTAGGTTTATTGATGAACTGATCACTTTAGTGCCACTGTTATTATGCAGTTTTAAAGTAACAGACAATGTAAATATGAACACACCTTTGACTTTCACGGAGAAAAACTGAGCATTGCCATTGTTCATAGTATTTTACAATAAGGTCAGAGGTATGATTTCTCCAAACACCTGAAGAAATTTTTCACTCTGAAAATACCATGAAACTTTGATGTTCTCTGTAACTTTTTATCTCCCAGCATTTAAGATATTCAGTCTAAAACCCCAAACTGTGTCTGCAGTTACCTTCTCTTTGGGTTATTAAAATGACACAAATTACATTACCTGACTTAACCACGAGGTCCTCAGTGGCATTCACAGCCCTACTGATAATAGAACTGAACTTAAACTGTGCAGTAATTAGATTTTTAAAAAAAGTGTATGAATAAAAACAATACTTGACTGAAATATCTGCACATGGCATATGGCATTGACGGTGCTATCAGCCTGCCATCATCAGGGCAGTCACAGGACTGACAGCGGATGCAGGAAGACAATTCATCTTTGGTTTGATTAAAACATTAATGCTATAATTTTCTCTTCAGGTCTGAAGTCAGAGAGGACACCTTTGTGATCTATGCCACAGTGGCTAAATCCAGCTGAGTTTGACTGAAAAATTTCACTCCTCTGATTTAAGTTTCAACATCATCAAGAAACATTTGCTGTCTTCTTCTACACACGGCTGTTCAAAGTTCAAAGTTACTGCAGTTAAATTGCGATCTTATTTGTACTGGTCTTAAAGCAAGTGATATAGGATTCAAATGTCTTTTAACAGACTTAAATTTAGAGTTTACCTTCAGTACATGGCTTTATACACTACACTCTCTGCTCCCTTGTGTACACGTATGCGCTTTTCTGCCTCTCGCCCTCCAACCTACCACTTCTAAAGGAAAACCCAACAAATCCTCCTTGAGCAAGCACTTGGCAACAATGAGGAGGAAACACTCTCTTTAATGGAAGAAACCTCCGACAGACCCCGGCTCTTGGTGGGCGGCCTTCTGCCTCGACCGGTTGGGGTGAGTGGATAGAGGTGAGAGAGGAGAAAAGAGAAGTAACAAAACACAGCAAACATAACAACAATCGAACACAGGTTGATGTGGCTGGGGAGTGCACAC